TCAAGCCACGGGGTTCCCGGGACAGGCTGGGGTGCAAGGTGAACTTGGGGTCAAGCCACGGGGTTCCCCGGACAGGCTGGGGTGCAAGGTGAACTTGGGGTCAGTTTTATTTTGGGGGGGGAGCGGGGATGGAAGGATCTGTTTAGGATGGGTAGCGTTGAAGGGCGATGTGTCTTTATAACTCATTTTCAAAGCCATGCGGGATATTTCTCAAAGCCAGGGGCTTATTATACCTATTTGTTTCCAAGAACTGTTTAAAGATAGTGCCTGATTGTGCAGACGGTATTTATACTTTGCATTAAATAGGGACATAGATGCTATATAGAAAAATTGACACAAATTGAATTCAGCTTCGATACAACAATTAAGAAGGGAACAATATGTCCATATTGTTCACACCCTTATACAATATTAAAACGGCAGGATTCCTCACACGATACAGAGTGTTGTTTCTGTTAGATAGATTGACTGATGGATCTGCATAGGTTTGTTTTTTTTCTTACATTGTTAAAAGAAGGCCTTCATTACTAGGGAGAAAAAGGCCACGTTATTTAGACATTCTTGGTTTAGAAATTTACGAAGTTTTCCATGGAAATATATAGCACACATGGGATCAAAAATAATTGTTGGATCACAGGATGGCAAAGAAAGAATTCAAATTATTGCACTGAATTAACTACAAAACCATGTAGGAACCTTGGCCAGATGCATCTTGAGTGTAGCTCCACAAGTGGAGATGTGTATGGCTGGAAGGAGATTTCCCTAATTCCATGACAAGGTTCCAGTAATAATTATTATCATTATCATGGTAACGGCATAGATAATGTTAACGAGAAAGATAACATCGCATTCCGTCTGGTTACATCAGTTGACCATCCTCATTTTGGTCATGACCCTTTATTTAAACTGATGACTTGAACAAACGGAGAACTGAATTAGACGAGGAAAGGGAGGGTAAATACCTTACCAGGTGTACGTATGAAGAAACACCTTTTTCATCTTTAGAACAAATATTTAAAGAATATGGAATTTATGATTGTTACAAACTGCATGTGATGGGATTTGGAGGTGGGGGTCTTTGGGAGGTAGCTGGGTGGGTGACAAGGGTGGGGCCCTCAGGACTGGGATTAGTGCCCTTATACAAAGAGACGCAGGAGAGAGCACTGCTTTCTGCCCTGAGTAGACACAAGAGTCACCTGCAAAGTAGGAAGCATGCCCTCAACCAAACCCAGCGCCTGCCAGAGCCTTGAACTTGGACTTCCCAGCCTTCAGAACTGCGAGAAATAGAGCTCTGCGATTTCAGCCATCAGTCTGTGGTACTTTGTTACAGCAGCCCAAACTGACAAAGACAATTATTATGTGAAGTGGTATTAAGTTATGTTTTCTCTTTTGTTGACACAGAATGCCTTCAAGCTTACAGAAGAGGGCAAACAGGAGACTTTTTTTAATGCAACAAAAGAGAAAATTTTAATCCATTGATAAGTGTTCTTGACCTTCAAAGTGATTTAAAAAAATAGGACACTTCCTAGAAAAACTACCAAAACTTTATTTTTCAAGTTTTGGAGAAAATATGACATTTTATTTTGCCTAAATTTATGTATTTGTACACATACATAAACTTTTGATGTAAAGACTTTTAAACCTCAGGTTGTTTATTAACCAAATGATCTTACTCAGCAAAAAAAAAAAAGGTTCAGATAATGAAGATAATGAAATTTAGTAAGTGACTCCAAAATCCAACTTCATTTTACCGCTTCTTAAAACATGAGATATAGTGCTTTCTGATTAGGGTCACAGGGATACTCACACAGTTTTAAGATAATGCAATTACAGAGTAATTTTACCTGATTCTTAATTCAAAAGCAGTTAAAAATCAATTTGCTCTAGGTTATAAAATCCAGTATCGTTGTTTTATGGACAAGTGAACCAGGTAAAAGAAAAACGGCAACTTGAACATGATTTCAGTGAAGAGGTAAGACAGTGAGGCCTCCATCCAGCCATAAAAAATGTGGAAATAAAACTTTAGCTTCATGAGAAACTATATATCCAGTGACTAACCACAAGGCTACTTGCCTTGGTTCAGCCACTCAGAAACTGTGTAACCTTAGAAAATGTTCTGAATATCTCTGATTTTCAGTTTCATTATTTAAAGAAAGGAAAGTAGGAACCCTGATCAGGTAAAATATATTAATATAAACAGCATCTCATGGTTAATTTATTATCTTAAACGCTGGGGTTAGTTTGGGGGAAATATTTTAAGAGCAACGTTTCTTATTTACAAGTGCACTAAAGCAAGCAATCTGAGAAATTGTATTTTCTCTAAAGCTCTTACCCAGCAAGATAATGATGCAGAGGAGAATGGCGATGAGGGCCCCGGTGCTGAGGCCTGCGGGGAGCAGCAGCGCCTCGGCGCTGCAGGACTGCATGTTGCCCTGGCCGTCGCAGGCACACACGCGGATGGTCAGGGTGCCCGTGCTGCTCTGGATCGGGTAGTCGTTGTCTGATATCACCACAGGCAAGAGATAGGTGCTGATTTCATGTCGACTGAATCCATTCTTTCTGGTTAAAATTCTGGCAGTATTATCTACAATAAATTTTAAAATATTAAAAATGACTTGGAACAGTAAATCTGTCTCATCCTGATCACCAGGGTTTTAGACAGACAATGTTTGTGCGAAATATAAAACGAACATCAATTTTCCTATAACATGTACGCAATACAATTAAAATACGGATGAGGTAAATTGGATAGTCTGAGGAATCCAATACTATGATTGCTTATGTATTAGATTTTCAACTAATTCTCAGATGTTTTCAAAGCGAATTTCTGCACGTGAATCGTACATCAAGACCACATAGGTGATAGCATATTCTTTTTAGAAACATATATTATGCATACCAAGCACAAAAAATCATAGTAAATGTTTCTTATTTATAAATACGCATGTGTGTCCACACACACACTCTCTCTCTCCCCCTCTCTCGCATGCGCGACACATTAATTCAGTATTCACGCAGAAAGGTATGATTGGGTANTAAATACGCATGTGTGTCCACACACACACTCTCTCTCCCTCTCTCTCGCTCTCTCATGCGCGACACATTAATTCAGTATTCACGCAGAAAGGTATGATTGGGTAAAGTCTCTGTATAGTTGCATTTTTAAAATCAATAATGTAGCCAAAAACCTTATGAGTCCTAATATATGAAGAATAGTGAGCAAGTTATTTAGTATTTCTGAACTTTGATTTCCGCCTGTTAAAGCGAATATAATGCATAACAAAGTACTGGTATAGCTCAAAGACAAGTGGTATGAGTGTCTAACAGACACACAGGAGAAAGAAGGGGCTTAAGAAAGGCCAGCATCCCACTGCTCAGCCATATCTACGAATGGGGGTTATGGGATTAATAAAAAGATACCTTCTAGCCCTATATAACCAATATGTATTACGAAATAAAGTCAACATATACTTGGATAATCATTTCCTACTCAGCTTGCCCTAGGCACTTAGTCTAGTTCCGTTAATCCCACTGGGTAGTTCAAAATGCCGATATAGGGAAGGAACTGAGTTAGCCAATTGCTAAATCAAACAAGACAGAAAAAAAAAAATGACATTTTTTTGCAGGTATAGCGGTTGAACTTAAAACAATCATTTCCTAAATTGTTAGTAAGAAGTTAAATTCTACTGCATCAGCAACACAGCTATGAAAGTACATCAGCAAAACAGATGTACATAAGCACATTTTTAAAAATAAAATGTACTCCGGATCATTTTATACTTTTGACTTATCTCCCAAGAAGTATTAGAATACAATTCTTCTTTTTTTCAAACTTACAGTAAAATGAAATTTATATGCATGCAGGTATTTTTAGATTTTCTTACCTTTAACTTTTGAAAAGTTTCTAAATCTTAATTTTGCCTACATTAGTTTTGATATATTGAAGTACCAAAGTTTTACCCTAAACTCACCATTCTATTTACATCATTTGGTAAATGCCCATCAGCATGCCCTCTTCTTCTAAAATATGCTTCTACCTTTTTTGAGAATGCAAAAAATAATTTCAGTATTTTTTTTATTAGAGACATTATAAAATGCATGCTTTATGCAGCAGAATAGTGTATTCTGCCCTTGCAACTGCACTTTTGCACATAATCCCTTCACAAGTTAAGGATACTTCTCACTCCTTGTGTCCTGCCTTTTTGTTAAGAGAACTGATTATTTCCAGACTCTTTAATGTTTTCAAGATTCAATCTTTTAATTAGGATGCATATAGAGACTACTGTCACATATTTTATTATTAATATTATTTAAAAATATATCTTTATTGATTTCAGAGAGAGGAAGGGAGAGGGGGAGAGAGATAGAAACATCAGTGATGGAGAGTCATTGATCAGTCGCCTCCTGCACGCCCCCCACTGGGGATCGAGCCCGCAACCCGGGCATGTGCCCTGACGGGGAATCGAACAGCAATCACCTGGATCCTGGGTTGATGCTCATCCGCTGAGCCACGCCCGGCCGGGCATCACATATTTTATTATTTTAAAATTCAAAGGATAAACACTGTCAAGCAAGACATTACCATAACATCTCATGAAGTAGCTGATAAAACCAAAATTTTGTAATACAGATCAAGAAATTAATATATCACGTGCATGGTAATTGTTACTTCGGGGGAAGTTTCTTGTTCATGTCACCCTAAATCATAATGGACACGTTCTACAACTTACCTTCATTGTCCTGTACTGTGAAGTTTGGATTGACAGCTGCTAAGCTGAAGAAAAATTTCTGTCCACCTAAAGGGTCATCTTTGTCTACTGCACTTATAGTCTGTATCAGCTGCAGAAGAGAGAAACAGGCATATTTACCAAACTTCCATGGGTATCACATGCTTTGTAATATGGAATTTTTTGACATTCAATTTTGTGTAAAAAATTTTAAAGGCAATTGACTTCCTTCCTCATGCATTTACCTTTATATGAATTATTCTGTCTTTTTAATTATTGCTTCGATTTTAACAAAGTCCCTATCTTTTCCTCTCTGCCTCTCTCTGTTACTCTCTGTCTCTATATCTGTCTCTCTCTCTCAGTTTTTCTTAAATATTATCCATTCCTTCAAAATAACAAATGGTGATATTATATTCTTGGCAATGTTATTAATTTAGACATAGGATTTGGAGTGTCTAGGTTATTTCCTATACATTTAAACACTGATCTGGAAGAATATATCTAATGTAGGAAAACATTTTAAATTATTTTAAATAGGGCTTTCCTCCTCATCAAAAGTAAAGCGAAAACTGTTAAAAAATGTAGATTTTATAGACATGATATGTAACTTTTTAAAGGAAATACATTTTATTATCTACTTTATCAGTAACAGTTCACTACATTTGCACTGTCAATAAAATTATATATTTTTAAATTCAACATACTCATATTATGGGGAATGGTTATTTTATAAGGGTCAACTCTTTGTTTATTTGGGATAATGGACTATATAAGAAGCTACCTGCTAACAAAGTAGAACATTTTATACCTTTTACTATAATCAGATCATTGCTTTTAACATGATTTATAAGAATAAGTAGATGAGGAAAATTTGACAGAAATGAAATAACGTATCAAGAAATATAGTAGACTAATAAAATTCATAAAGATTAATATGTTAACACTCACATGTAGACACATAAATGATAGAAATGTGAAAGTAGAGCCAATGATCTTTTAAAATAAAAACTATGATGTCTTATAATAAATATACATTTGCATCTATGATTACAAATTACAATTCATTTTTTAGACCAAAATTAATACTTTTCAGAGAAAAAAATGGCTACATCTTTACATATATCTGTAAGAAATTATAAAGATTTACATAAAAATTCTAAATTAAAATCTATTATTTTAATAAAAGATGGTAGCATTGTAGATTTTAAAATCAGTGGTTCACTGATACATTTTCATTAAATGTTAGGAATGAAATAAGTGAAGCTCACAGTAACAATACAAATAAGATAGAATCACATCAGAAACTGTATCAAATTATAACATATTTTTATGAGCCCAAGGCTTCTCTATTGCAGATGGAAGCACTTACTTCCTTTTCAGTTTCTTTCTTTGAGATACAACTTAGCGTCTAGTGTTCAACTTCTCCATATCCAGCACTTACTTTTCAATCTAGTCTTCCTTTACATTTCCAGTCATACATTAAAAAGTCACAATATTTTGTTTTGGTATATTACCATAAAGTATTGCACTAGAAATCAGAAGTTGGCAACAAGAGGTGGATAAGACTATTTTCTCTGTCTCTCTGTATAAGTACTCACTATTTTATTTCTACTGAAGACAAATTCATTTTGACCCACTTCCAAAAAAAAAAGAGGTTGCCACCGTTATGGAAAACAATTCTAATGATATCTAGTATTCATTTTAAGCACATGAAAAATAGACACAGATGAGTCGCTTATATTTTATCCCCTTAGCAGTTACATAATTTGATTATATTTTCTCTGAGCTATTCTAGAATAACCTTAAATCAACTTGAAAGGTGTTTTAGTGATCAAACTATAATGAAGTGTGGCATGATAAATGGATTTTAAGATGTTTCGAGTTAGAAAACTGGTCACTACATTTTAATGTGAAAAGACTAATAGTTTTGCTGTCAGTGGAAGCGGGGTTCTTAGGGTGCCGATGGAATTAGAATTTCCGGAGGCCCCCATGGGACAACAAGATATGGTAGAAAGCTTTATTTCTGTGGAATTATACCCCTGAGTTTCCAAGGTCCCATGTCTGTCCCTCTGTGCCCCCATAGAAGAAGTGTAGCTGTGGCTTTAGCAGAGCAAAGATCTAAGCCAGTGACCAGAGTTTTTACTCCATGCTGGAGCACAGGTCCAGTCCAACGTCAGGCTAGCTTAGTTTGTGTTCCCCGCTGCAGTCCATCAGTCCTACGCATGTGGGGTCACATGGCGGTGGGGGCATGTGGCTATGGAGGAAATACAGGCAAGTGCAAGAGAGCCACAAGAGCTCCAAGAGCCACACAAGAGACAAGAGAGTAAACTCCTTTGTCTAGGGGATTATGTATCTACAAATTTCCTCAGGCTTGCATTGTCCCTGCCCCCTCTGGCCAATGATCTCTGTTCCCAAGTATGACTGACAGGCATCTTCCCTGCATCACCCGACTTCACTGTACTTACACCCATCTTCCCCTTTGTCCAGTCCCTTCCCCCAGTGATCTGCAGGGAATGGGCCAGTGGTTCCCTGGGGAGTGTGAAATTGCAGCTTCCTGGTGAAGCTGCCCAAACGGCCATGCTCATAATGTCCGGCCTCCCTCTGCTCCTTTTTTATTACTAATAACAAGCTAATTATAACAGTTTCTGTTGATGAAAAAATCCCCATTGTTCTGGTAAAAAGACGCTTTTTCAGTTGTTAGGAAAGTAACTAAACACTTTTAAGAAAAATATGTACGGGGTATTTTGAGTTTGAAAGGGCCTGGAGTTTAGATACTATGGATGCGTAAAAATAAGCATCACTCCTCCCTGGGGAGACTCCCTGGGAAATCTCCTGTGAGATTAATGCTATTTCTCTCCCATAGAGATTAAACATTATTAAAATATGTTTTATTGACTGTGAGAGTGGGGTATATGTGAGGGAAAATGGAGAAAAACAGCATGTCCTCTCCCCTCTCTCTGAGATGGAAAAAGATGGACTATCAAGTGGCCTAGTTCAGAAACAAGAAGAGATTAATAATACTACATCAATTATAAGCTGTATCCTTTCCCAGGGGCCAACTCTTCTACCCTTACAGCAAGGAATAGGCAAGAAAGTAGTTGGGGGTGGCAGTCAGCTTTATTTCTGTCTTCTCGTTTTCTCCACACACCAAATGAATGGAATTATTTCCCATGCTGTTGTTCTAAATGCTACTCTTAAAGAGCACTTAATTCGGAGCAGTATTGGGTGGATTGAAATACCCTGTAAATAACTGAAGCACACCCAGAAGTCCTATCATAGCTCTTACTTCCTAGGAGGAGAAAAGGCAGAGTTAGCAAGTGAATTCCAAGAAAGGCTCAGTGAGGAAGGACTTTACCAAATCACCACCTTGATTTTTTCCTGCTGGGATGTCATTACCTAGAGTCCCATGATTGGGTATATAACGGTTTAGTTTAAACAACCATTTTTCAGCCTATGAGACCAAAATGACATCTAACAAACTAGTCTTATTAAAAATTACTGCCATGAGAGGCTCTTGCATGTGCAAATTTATTCATCATGTTTTTCCTATCATGTTTGTCAAACAGACTAACTACCTTTTTATTAAAATCATCTTTGATTTGGTTATATTTGTCTTCAGTATGTCAACTGGTGTTTAAAAGTCCAAAAACAAAGTTACTGAGCCAGATAAAGAAAAAAAAGAAATAAGGGAAATAAACAAACACAACCTCTTATTTTGGATAATTCAAATATACTTGGAAATAAGTGTTTATAATGACTCAAATGCTCTGAAAAGATATCTCTGGAAAATCAAATAAAATAACCATAGAGGAAGCAGTGCATATGGCTGTTGCAAGTTTGGTATTGCATCTTTTAGACAAAAAGCTTCAACTTATATCATGGAAGCCTGGCAAGCAGAGGACTATTTGGAATGGTATTTTTAGGGCACACACAGTTTCATTAAGAAGTAGGTCGGAAGCAGCTAAGTCACTTAAATATTCCAAATTAAACATCTCCATAATATTTTCAAATAAAAAAAATGAATCCTATTGCAACAGTTTTACCATTTCAAACAACAGACAGGCTATTGAATTCCTGTTACAGTCTTCAGCAGGAAGGATCTGAGTTATTGCACAATGTAATTTGCATAAAAATGTAACAATCACATTGATGTTTATAAAGAGCATTCAATGATGTCAAAACACCATACAGTTTTATGATGGCTCCCCTTTCCTTAGTAAAACAAATTCGATTCCCAATTATTATGTATAACAGGCAGCTTCCTCTTGTGGAGATAGCACTCAAACCAATTAAGAGCATTTCTTTCAGCCATAAACGCTGGAGCTTTGCAAACAAAACGAGTCCACTGAGGAAAAGACTTAAAGAGTTACAGACAAGGCTGTGGAGGAAGAATGTTTAAAAGACGAAAACCGAGGCACTAAGCAGTTTCTGTGTTGCTCTAACAATGCAATGCAAGTGTAAAGGTGAGGAGCGAATGGGCCGCCCCACTTTGAAACTCTGAAATCGTGTTTGCATACGCTGAAATACTGACGGGATGTTCTGCAGGTCCCATGTATTTGTCTGTGGCTTTCCCAAGTTTTATTCCCCATCTCTCTATTGGTTATCAATATTTATCAAATGGCACAGGCAAGATGTTTCCTTGGTTTTGTTTTTTTGTTTGTTTGGTCTTTTGTCTGTTTTCATTTTTGAAAGTTTAAAACTGTAAAGTTATTTATTCTTACACCTAAACTCTCGTGGCAACAATAAAATCTTATATACATTAGAAATTTACAAACGATACATGGAAACTTGTTATACTGTTATTTATAACATCTTCGACCTTAAAAACACCAGCATACGTTTGTTTGTGTGTTTTTAATTATATTACTGTGACTTTCTGAGTGTCATCTTCCTTTTCTCATTCCTCTCAAGATTGGGGAAAGAAAATATTTAACCATGCAGCTAAAATTTTCCTGTGCTTTTAAGTCCTACGAGTCCTCACCTGCCCTGGCCTGGCATTTTCACATACAAAAGTGTCGTAGAACACAGCAAATTGTGGGGCGTTGTCATTAACATCCAAAATTCTCACATAAACAGCCACACGCGTCATCTCTTTGGGATTGTCTAGAAAAGGGAAAGAAAAAGTTTGTTTAGGAAGACACAGTTTGCACCAGATTTACTTTATATGAGCATCTGTGGATATTAAGTGCTCACACACAAATAAGCATCTTGGCAATTCCACTAACATAATGGGCAAATGCAATAAAGATAGTTACTAAGAGCCTAATTAAGTAGTCATGAATTCAGTTATTATTGGGCTCAAGCGTACTATTATTTTGGAAAATATTTTTTAAAAGCACAATCCAGTGTAATTGAGTTCATATTTGTGTCCTTAGTGTTCAAATATATATAAAACAAGAACAAATATTTAATAAAGCTTTGTTATGCAACTTTATGTTACTTAATCTTTCCTGATTTTTTTGGATGAAGAAGTAGTTTTTAATAAAGTAGTAACTTGCCCAAAGTCATTAGCTCCTAAGTGGTAGCTGTTTTATTAGAACTTACACTCTGACTACTTTTATCACTATAATGTATTCCAACAGCTACTCTCGACTCTCCTTTTGGAAATTTCTATATATGGCTACTAATTTTACAAATGGGATAGAAATTTACAATGAAATTTATTTTATTAGTATAATTATTACTAGTACTATTTCAACAATCCAGGCACGATTCTATGTAACAAAATTAGCTCAATAATAACATATAGTATACCTATGATTTTCGCCCCACAAATGCTAAAATCAAGAGCATCAAAGTTTTCACATAAAAATGTGAATTTCAAAGAGTTCCGACTGGTAAAACAGAAATGTCTATTAAGCTTACTTAACCTCGGAAAACAACCCAGGAACAATCACAATTACATTAACTTTACTATAGATTTTTGTAGGCACTTGAGCTGATTGGTATCTGAGAGTGTTTTGACATTTTAAATTCAGGCTACATTCATCAGCATTCGCCATATCGAAATCTCAGCCTTTGGACATAGCTCAGCTTCTGTGTGAACTTTGCTGAACTCACGCAGAAGATCAATATAAAAAGAGAAAGAAGACAATGAACCACAAACAAAGCAAAGCCCACGCGGGAAGAGCAGTTCAGCTGGGGGGCGGCAGCAATCTCACTGGATGGCCACCCACATGGGCTGGGATAGTATCACTGAGCCTTGTGGAATTTATCTTTCTAATTTTATTTGAATACTTTTTAGATACAAGGGTAAAACACTGTCCCATGCAAATAGGGAGCGGGTCACTAGTCACAAGAACTGATTTCTTCTTTCTCTCCATGTACTTACAATGTCACTAAAATAAAGAGGCCGAGCTTTTGCAAACTATTGTGTAAGAACTGGCTGCTCAGCAGGGACATTCAAAGGCTGAAGTAGTAGGAAGGCAGGAGGAATCTAAATCCTTTTAGAAATGTGTTTACCTTTCTTTCGTCTACTCAAAAGGAACATTCCAGTGCCTGCTGTCTTGAACACTTCAGGCTTCCCTCAGTCTTCCCGGCCCACGCGTGCCCAGCTCTCAGGTTGTGGTTTCATGCTTGCAAATCCATTCTATCTGTTTCTGCACATTGCAAATCCATTCTATCTGTTTCTGCACATTGCAAATCTATTCTATCTGTTTCTGCACATTGCTCACGTCTGTGTGCCGGGCGACCAGAGTTCAGACCCTGGGGTCCAGGTCAACTGCTTGGATTCCCGAGCCTACCGCTCCCTCCCTGTGGTACTCTGGTCAATGCACTCCCTCTCTCTCCTGCCTCAGTTTACTCAACAGGGATCAACGCAGAACTTCTTACAGAAGTTATTTGAAAAATTAGATGAGTTCATGCGTGGAAACTTCTGATCCAAGTATCAGTGTGCTGGTGCTGACTGTTGATATTAAGGTCGCCTTTATTGTCAAGGTTGTGTCTTCACTTCCCTACACCACTCAGGCGCTTATGTTCTCTCTCCACACAACGGAAACCTGTTAACTGGCTTTCCTACAGCTCACGCGGGTCTGAAGAGGGGCAGGTGCGGGAGAAGCGGAGAGAGCAGGAAAAGGCCCTTCTGCTCCCCTCCGACCTGGACCATCTGCTACCAGCCGGAGCCGCACAGCGTTCACCGAGGCATGGCCCCTCACTACCAAAAGTTACTTGGAGAAGAGTGGGATGGTGCGATNCCCTCACTACCGAAAGTTACTTGGAGAAGAGTGGGATGGTGCGATTTGTCCGTATTTTCCAGAACATGCTCTTTAACCTACTTACATAGTTAGTGGGCATAAGCAACATGTTTCCTTTCAGTATAAAGTCTTGACATAAAAATAACTCTTTGGTGAGTAGCAATTCACTTTCTAACTATGCCACAGAGTCAAGAGAGAGAGAAAAGTCTCATATCAAACAACTGTGCGGTTAGTCCCTTCTCCAACAATCATATGGAGCNCGCAGTTAGTCCCTTCTCCAACAATCGTATGGAGCGATTCTCTGGGCCCCTTACAAATAACTCAGGCTTTTCCAATGAAAAGCTCAATCCACAGGGATAAACATGATTTATAAAGCATCGAGCCTGGAGTCATCTATTCAAAAAACAGTGCTTGCACGGATCTTTTTTACTGGCAGATGCTGCAGCCTATTGTATAAATAAAAGTCTTATAAAGCGTTCCAAGAAAGCATCGCGCTGAATACTGGCCGACACGTATTTACCACCTGAGTCCCTCTCAGCCATCACAGCAAAGTCTATTGTAGCAAGAAAGTAGCAGCAGCCAAGACTCTTAAAATTATGTCCAAAGATGAATCTGGGCCTATGTATCCACAGGCTTTCCTACCTCCCAGAAGAGAACATTACATCATTATCTAGAAATCTCAGGCTTTAGAGAGATGTATCTTCTCTACCTGCTTAGGGCAGGAATGTCCACTAATAAGGAGCTAGGTTAGGTATGGATTCAGTCCTTCAGCATAAACTTTGTTTGACCTTCCTCAAGACGTACTGCAGTGATTGTAGTTAAATTTTCAGATGTGGTGGAGGAACTCTTAGGTCTCTACAGTGATGTGTCCCACAATCCCTGATTGTGACATAAATTTTTGATTTTCTATTCTTCACATGGCATTTAAAATGATTTTTAAAAGAAGAAACAGATAATTTATTCATGGTATACTGCACTGAATAATTACCTGAAGTAGTACTCGCCCTATGATGGGCTATAATGCTGTGGGATGTAGAATTAAAATGTTAGAGGCAGGGCTTGGAAATACACTGGTAAGAAGTGCACTTATATGTCGTCCTGCCCCGCTTAGGGCTCGGTGTATGCCATGGTTACCATAAACCATGTTTAAAATCTAGCGAAAACAATTTCCTGTTGCTGTTTCCCTCTTACCCTCATTCCCATTAATAACCGGAATGGCATAATGGGCCTTGGCCGCTTGTGGTTTGGCAGGTGGACATTCCCAGCAGTCACTCCATGGGCTGATTCACTTAAGGGGCAAGAAATAGGCTTAGTTTTTAAAAAGAAGAATGTGATTCGTTTCGCTTTTTACAGAATTGTAATTACTTCAATTAGCTTTAGAAGTTAAATTCCTGGAAGTATCTGAAATGGAAAGTGCATGTCTAGCTCACTGGCTTGAATAAGGATCTTGAATCCACAGAGAGCCCAAACAACCACGGTTCTGGAATGGCCAGATTGGACCCTGTTGGGCACTTCTAACCGTGGTGATAGGGAGACAGATACAGAAATAAGAGTTTTCTTAGAAAGAAAAACTAAAAAAATCTTCTGTGAGCCTTAAAAGGCTCAGCCATTTATATCTCACTATGGAAACTTTGGATAGTCATGTTAACTCATATTTCAGAGCCAGATTTAAGGAGGAAGCTGAATCTATTACTTTATCTTGAGGCTTTGAGTTCGTTGCTGATGATCTGTCTAGCCTATTTCCATACTTCTGAGACTCTTGGCATTCAGCCCCAAGGTTCTGCCTTCCAAATCCTGGAATGGATACTTCGAATACCTTGACCTCAATACGTGTTTGGGGATTCAGATTGCTACTTCAGATAAAGAATTTACAGGCTTAGATTTTCACAATGATTCAGTGCTAATTAATGTGTCTTTTTAAGAAGTTAAGGAGTTGCCCTGCTCCATGTACATCACCCTACAGGAATTAGAAACCATGAGCAGGTTTGCATGTGTGGACAGGGCCGGCTTCACGGGCAGGAGCAATTGTAAAAGGTCTCACATGCAGAAGGCCACAAGCTTGTTTTAATGCTCTGCTTTTGCCATGTTAAATTTCTTAATCATTTTTAACAAGAGGCCTGACCATTTTGATTTATAATGGGCTCCCCAAATTATGTTGCCAGTCCTAATTGTATGGCAAGAACTTTTGCTATTCGAGACAGATGCGGTTTTGAAACCTGGCTCTGCCTGCTATTAGTTGGATGAAATTTTGTAAATTAGGTACAGAGTTAAGTGTTTGATCTAGAAACAAAATGATTGGTTTCAAATCCTGGTTTTACTACTTCTGGCCCTGTGGTTGAGGCAAGTTACTAAAACCCTTGAAACCTTATTTCCTTCTCTAATAAGGTCAATAAAAATATTAGTGAGAGAAAATTAATTTAAAATTCTTAGACTGATACCTGGCACAAAGTGTTTGTTAGCTATTATTACAGTTACTTTGGTTTCCTTATTTGTAAAAAGATAGTAATAGTATCACCTACCTGCATATTTGTTGTTAAAATTCAATGATATACATCCAGCATTTAGCACAGATTCTAATTCATAGTGTCCATGAACAAATCTAATACATATTATTTTCCCAAGACTATTTTTAGTTAGTTAATATAAAATGTAGATTTATCTAGACCCACAGCTATCACTCAGTATATATAAAAACAAATGAAAAAAATATATAGATATTGAGAAGCATGTGAAAACCTTAGGTTAAAATATATGTGTGCAATGAAAAGAAATTATTTTTAATATAAAATAAAAACTAAAAAAATATATGTTAAATATTATACACATAAAATTCATCTTACTCATTTCAGCAGCTATAATGGTAAGATTGTGCCATTGAGAGAGTTCACGGTCAAGTGGCTTTGATATATAAAGGGATCCATTTCCAGAATGTATATTAAAGATCCTGTCAAGGTCAGTATGGCGATCCAAGGAAAATCTGAACATAGAGTGACAAGAAAAATACAGGGCAGTGCTATTGATGGTTTGTAGTATTAAATGGTAAAATGCAAAGACATATCTGTAGGGATATAAAATATTTTCAGGAATGTACATAGTAGCAATCTAGAATGCAGATTATTTTATCAATTTCTCACACACACACACACACACACACACACGCACGCGCGCGCGCGCACCTCTTCTCAAGGCATGAGTTGGCAATTTGTTCGGCATTCAAATTCCAGTCTTTTAAATTTTGTTATTATCATGATCTATTTCCATATTCAACTGACCTTGATGTATTTTCTGACAAAACATCTGGTATTACATATGGTTCTATTATCAACTGACTTTACCTAGTTATTGAGAACTCTATTGAGGAATTACTATAAGGATCTAATGCAACAAGTCATTCCCAGAAGCAAAGTCTTTTTCTTAGTAAATTGGAGACAATGTTAGTTTCCTCAGATTTAGTAGGTCACCAATTTTTGATGGTATTTACTAGCTTCATGGTATGATACCTGTGCAGCTTCAGTTTCTTGTCCAAATGTGTCAACTTATATACATAAATGCATAACCCATGGACACAGACAATAGTGTGGAGAAGGCCTGGGGGGGAGAGGGGAGCAGGTGCGGGGTGGATGGGGTCAATGGGGAGGTAAAGGGGACATCTGTAATACTTTCAACAATAGCGATAAATTTTTTGAAAAAGAAAAATGTATACATTTTAACCAGAGATGATTTGAAAATAGAAATGTTTGGGATAGAAATTTTTCTACATTTGTATCAAAGTCTTACTATATGTATAAAAAAAGAATTATTCTGCAAATTGATTAAATACATTGTATTGGATATCATTCTAGAGCCAAATACCAGGTTTTCAGCTGAGATTTAAAACAGCTGTAAACCTCAGCCATAGCTGCCACTTCACAAACATGGTGGCTTACACGTTTCATAGTTCCTGATATAGCAAGCATAAATACCCAAGTTATATTTTATGCTCCTTATTAAAAAACAAAGAAAACAAAGCCAAACAAAGATGACAAGACTGGGAGTAACACTGAGTTATGGTATATGTCTTCCTAAGCCACAACTCATTTATTTTAAGGAAAAATATGTGAAATGTTATTTTTAAAGTCTGTTTTGTGAGTAATAATACAAAATAATTAAAAAGTGCCATAAAACTCTTCCAAAATTTTATATTTCCAAAAATCAACTGAAATTTATTTAAATCTGTTCTAAACAGAATATACTAGTAATTTATAAATCTCCTTAATAAACTCTACCTCTTTCTATTAACATAATATGAATTCAGTTTTGTATTCAAACTACACATCTTTCCATTCACAGATAAAGCAAGTCACTGTATTTTTATAGAATTCACAAATTCTATACCAAGTTGACAAAATTCTTTTACATCTGAAAGACTCAACATAAATTATTTCCTCCTTGCTTGGAGTGTTCCATTATTACCTGAAGCAGAAGCTATCTGTCCCCTTCTAGTATGAAGTACCTTTTACCACTCATCCCTGTCATTTACCATCCCTGTCATTTACCACCCTGCAGAGGGAATTCATCTCACACAGGAAATCAATCATGAAAACACCAAGCATCTTACTTGGAGTCTAGTAGGCACTCAAGGAATATCATTTCTCATGCTGCATCATCTTCCTTAACAAACTGAAAACTCCTTGAGGGAGACGTTAATATGTGATATGCTGATCCACAAATATTAGTTAAATGAAAGAGAGGATGACTGAATTCTTTGGCATTTTGGCAAATGATAAGGTTCCTTATTTTAATAAAAATATGACATGAAGTTACAATATGCAAGTCAATGTAAAATATAATTGTGTTTACCAAATCCATTTATGCGTGTCTGTCTTAATTATTTTTTGTAGTTTAGTTTAAAGGAATAATGACAAAATATAAAGGATTAGGTGAAATTACCTTGAAGATGCAGGGACCCCAGTTCTTGTTCAAACTTGATATAATTATATTTTTCAATGATCTATTGGCAAATTGTGTGTTAACTTGCATTCTCCTTTTTAAAACCATTTCCAAAACACACATTTTGAGTAAATCACTTTGATTACTGCATCCAGATCCACAACATGTGACAATTTATAACATGCTCAATATTATCCATCCCATAATTACATTGCATTAGTAAAGCCATTTTATTTCTTTAAAGAAATATTTTTTAACCTACATGGTCTATCGAGGGTAACATCCAAGAATGTTCACTTGCATTTTCTAAATCATGGTAGCACAAATTCAAATACACAACCACCTTCATGGTATAGACTCTGTCATTAATACTCAATTCAGGTATTTGTTCTATTGCACATGGTATACATAATGGATTCTTTTCTCTTGGCCCTAATACTTGCATCCTGATTAAACATATTATTTTTTGTTTCAAAAATCCACAGTCATATTTTGACATAAAATCATCATCAGTCTACAGGAAGATAAAAAATCTATTTCATTGTACGGAGAAATCTCTCTCTCCTTTTTTTAAATCCTCACTCCAGGATATTTTCTCCATTGATTTCTAGTGAGTGGGAGGAAGGGAGAGAGAGAGGGAGAAACATCAATTGGTTGCCTCCTGCATAGGCCTCGGTCAGGATCGAACCTGCAAATGAGGTAACATGCCCTTGACCAGAAATCAAACCTCAACCTTTCTGTTGGAGGGATGACACTCTAACCACTGAGCGTTAATGGCCAGGGCAAGGAATATCTTTATGTTTCCAGTTAACAATGCAACTAGATTTACATTGAACTCTTTTAAAAATAATATATTTCTTTCTTTTTTTTTTTTTTAAAAAAGGTCATTTTAAAATCAGGAACACAGAGCACAGCCTATTAAAGTCAGTTGGGAGTTATGCCAAGAAAATGCTGGGTAAGTATTTAATGAGGAAAATTAAATGTGTACGTTGGTTATCTAAAACCTTTAAAGGGAAAAAAAAAATTCCAAAGAATGCAGCAATTTCAATGAAGATAAATGGCTTGGAGAAGAGGCATTTATGGGAAGCTGATGCTGGCAGATGGGAGCGCTACGTGATTACCATGTACACAGTTCTCCCGCCAGCATGTAACCTGTGATGCTGCGTGCGAACAGGAGGAAATGTTTAGGTAAGTTACATAAATTAAATAGCAATTTTAATATATATAAATGTGACTTCACTGAAGATACTGCAGAATCTACAGAAGGTTTAACTCTAAGTCGAGTGAGAGTCGCATGGCACGTAAATTAGAGGCTCTCTAGACCCCACTGCTGCATCCTTAGAGCGCAAAGAATGGTGCACTTGGAAACTGCCCGACTGTTTGAACTCCTGCTCGGCTGGTCCACAGGGGACAAGGGGCAGGCAAATCAGCCTGCTGAGAATTAGGGAAACAAATGAGTCCAAAATACATGATAGACCCACAGTTTAAAGTGAGCAGTCATTTTGATGCTGAGTATTGTATATAGATATCTGTATTTCTTTAAAATGATATAGTGAAAACTGAGTCTTTCGCATTTTTCTGCATTTATCCTGTCTCATATGTTTCCAGGCTGCCATTTACTCTTATCTTTCTGGAATGTTCTAATGTTTTTTGATAAAGCCAAAACCACCACCAGAAAACAGTTCCTTTTTGATGGCAGGAGTATGGGGGAGTTTCTATACCCTAATGTAACCGCACGGAAACACTTATTTTTTTTAACTGTTAATGCTGCTCAATCTCACATATTATCTGAGAACCTGAAAGCACAAATAAAGTGATTTGTAAATGTGCACTGTAAATATACAGAAGAAATAGTAAAATAATGTCCTTTATCTATACCAAGGATCAGAATAACAAATTCCTTACAGAGACAGGCAGATGACACATGACAAGTTTCAGGCTCAAGGGCACGATCAGCACCAAAGCGAATATGAAACGTGTGCCTGTTCTGCCCCAAAAGAAAGACCCTCTTATCTAATTAGAGGCATTACATGCTTTAAATAGAATTTCCTGACCTCCCTATTTACTGGAATTCTTTTCCCTTTCATCTTAAACACAGGCATGCTTACCTAATGGGGCTAGAAGTGGAATCCGGGTCCCTTGCCATTACAGTTCCAATGATGGTGCCCACTTCAATGTCTTCATGAACCTCGAACAGATAGGAGGATCTGCTAAACACGGGAGGTTCGTCCGCATCTTCTATAGAGATTTTTACAATGGTTGTATCTTTAAAGGGCCCCAGGTAATAAAAACGTGGGTCCACGTGGGTATTCTCTGCTTCCACCTTCAGAGTGTAAAGTCTTCGGCTCTCATAGTCAAGTGGCTGTATAAAAACAACCAACCATGAAATGCGAGTGGCAAACTGGATTCGATGTTTCTTCCAGGTTACAGCATGATTTTGAAAACCTGACTGAGCTCTAAGTTGTCCATTAACTGTACATAAATATAGTAAAAATAACATGATATTTACATATCAATAAGATTCAGTTTTACTTTTTAATGTATTCCATGTGTGATACTTTAGAACATAAGAAAGTGAAATTTTAAATCTTGGAAAAATTAGAAAGGATTAGAACCTAAGATGGTGACTCATTACAAAAAAGGGGCTGATGGATTGTGTGTGTGCGCGCTGAGGATTTAGCTACTGCTAATTTTTTCGAAGGAAAAATTCAGTTATATTTTTAAATTTATGCTGTGATATTTCCATTCAGTTTAATGGGCTCCCAGTACTTTACGAAATTTTGAAGACTAATGTAAAACTTTCAACAGTTATATGAGATTCCACTTGCCATGGCTATTACTTCCCAGTCATGAAAAGTACCAAGAAAGCTGTTTTCCCCTTCGGGGGGTACTATCCGTGGTTCGTAAGCGGTTGTGTACCTTGGGCCACACAACAGAACCTCAGGATAGTTTTGTGATTAACCAGTGTTTAGGTGGTTACTTTATGCATAGATTGTTCAGGATATTTCATTGGGACCTAAATTTTACTGTGCCTTACTTTTTTCCCTATAATAGATGGTACTGACTCTATAATAAAAAAACTAGTTACCTTTAAACCATATTCATAAGCATATGTTAACAGAAAAGTTTAATTTATGTAGCAGAAGGAGAAATGTGAACAATTAAATAATCTTCCAATCCATGCTATCTCTTTTTATTAGCAGTTCTAATTATTATTGCATACATCTGGATAGATAGTATGTTACTTTTTTGTGCCTCCAACTGTGATAACATATTGCCATTATTAGCTATTAACTGTTTTATTTAAGAAAACAATGGTATTATGGAAGCCTTTTATTAATGTGGCTCAGAAATATAATCACACATACAGGGTGGAGCAAAAGTAAGATTACAGTTGTGAGTACATGAAATATAGGGTTTATTCTTGTATTATTATTTATTAATTACTGTGTTATTTTCCCATATGAACTGTAAATCTACTTTCCCCCACCCTGTATATTATCCTGCCTTGTAAATTTTGTGAAACCTCAGGTCTCATGTTTCAGTGAAGAAAACATTTGGTCAAAATATCCAAAATCTTTTGCTTTGTGTTTCTCAGACTATGCACAATATAAATTCTATTTGACCATGACAGTGAATTTTCTTAATGGCTGATGCACGAATGGAAAGTACGTATTGAAATCTCTACTTTCTACAGCCAGATGCTTATTTACGCTGAAGCAGTGCACCTTTTTCACAGTGATGATGCCTTCCTGTGTGTCCTTCTCAGTTATGATGTCAAACATGTCAGTCCCATCACCATCAATAATTCGGTATTCGACTTCAGCGTTTTTTCCAGTGTCAGCATCAGTTGCTTTTACACTCCCAACGGCTGTACCAACTGGGGAGGATTCAAGTACTCGAAGATGGATGGTGTCTGCAAAGAAGAAAGAAAATGAGAGAGAGATAGAGAGAGAGAGAGATTTCCCAATAGAATATTCAAAGGTAAATGTGCTATGAGAGAACATTATAAATCTTAAACGTTGCATTAGATGTTAACTGATTAACAAGTTGAATACACATAATAAGATAGTATTAAGTTAAAGTCTAAGGACAGAAAAAGTAGAAATTTAGTGTATTTGTTCATGCATATTGTGAATAGCAAGTACCAACCTCTGACTGTATTAGCAATTCTGGTTTTAAAAATAGGCAGTTTGCTTTCTTTGCATTTGCACAGATAACTAGACACATCAGCTTTGCGTGCAGATATGTACCTATGTGTGTGTGTGCAGCCATAACAAATTACAGAATAAGCAGTGAATATTTATATTTAATTGTTTTCCCTCTGTTGTGTTTAGTTATATACTACACAGTTTGCTTTACAAAATTCCAAGAAATCAGCTGCAATGGGGAGCAATCCTATTTCTATTTGTGACAGAAGAAACAAAGGATAGTTTGGGAGAAAGACAAAGATGCCCTTCACAGTGTCAATATAAAAACACTAAATTATGACAAACTCCCCTCCATTCCAGAGCCAAACAAGAATTTATCGAAGCCCCTGGTGCCCATAGATGTGTCTCCAGCTTGAACAACCTCTACTGCTAATGAGATTTATGTTTTAGCTCTTGATCATAAACTGGATGTTACTGACAGATTAAGAGACCCGAAGCACCCTTCTGATTATAGCAGCTTCTTGCTCATAAACCTTAAGTAATTCTCCTTAACACGCATAATAAAGTCTAGAACACTTGAGTATTCATGCTCTTGCCAGACTATATCTTTCCCAGTGTATTTTCCCTCCGTCACTTACATGAAAGCTTTGCACCAACATGGACTTTTCTAAGTTTTCCTGTCAAAACTTAATTTCCTACACCTCTCTTTATTTTTAGACAGAGTGGTAGGGAGGGTGAGAGGGGCAGAGAGGAGGGGGAGACATTGATTGGCCGCCTCCTGCACGCACCCCAACCTGGGCTGGGGATCAAGTCTGAAACCTAGGTATGTGCCCCTGACTGGGAATCGAACCCTGACCCTTTTGTTTGTTATTTCCCCCACTACTCACATATAATCATAATGCAATTAAACAAATCTGAAAACAATGGCACTGTTATGCGTTGAGTGTTTGAGAGGCTGTGCCCCTCAAAATGTATACATTGAACGCCTAACCTACATTCGTTACCTCAGAATGTGACTGTGTTAGATGATAGGACCTTTAAAGAGGTAAAGTTAAATGAGAACATTTAGGGTTGGTCTTAATCTAATATGATATTGTCCTAAAAAGAGGAGATTTGGACATAAACAGGCTCAAAGAGAAGACCATGTGAGACACAGGGAGAGGATGACATCTACAGGCCAAGGCGAGGCCTCAGAATAAAGTGGCCCTGCTGACACCTTGATCTCGGACTTCTAGCTTCCAACGCTCCAAGAAAGTAAGCTTTTTGCCTGGCTGGGCGTGGCTCAGCGGTTGAGCGCCGACTTAGGATCCAGGCAATCAGGGTTCGATTCCCGCTCAGGGCACATGTCCGGGTTGCGGGCTGTAGCTGATCAATGACTCTCTCATCATTGATGTTTCTATCTCTCTCTCTCTCCCTCTCCCTTCCTCTCTCTGAAATCAATAAAGATATATTTTTTTAAAAAAAGAAAGATTTTGTTGCTTAAGCCACTCAGTCTGCAGTACTTCGCCATGGCCCTAACCACCAATCCAGGCACCTAGCTCCCACATCTGCTCAGTTATGGCAGTCATTTCCTAGGAGACCTCATTAAGACTTTCCACCACACTTCAGTTAGTCTGTATTTTTTATTCTTTTTTTTTGCATTTTTCTCTGTCTTTGGTAACACACTGTTGAAAGCAACTCTCAACTCATTCTTTGGCTACGGTCTTATTGGCTGCCTTTGCTTTTGCTGGTTCTCCCAGAAACACCTGTCCCTGGACATGCTGACGGCTCTCTCGCTTACTCCCTGCAGATGACAGCTTAACTGTGACCTGCTCAGATGCTGTCTCCAATCATCTTACTAAAAACAACCTTACTAAGAATTCCACCCCCAATCACTCTTCATATCACTTGCCACTACTAAGCATTACATTATTTGCGTATTTATTTCCATGTACTATGAGGGTGTGCAATATAGAACAAGTACTTTTTTTTTCATCGTTAAATCCCCACTGTATTTCTTTGCAGTAGCTACTATATTCTTATTTATATATTGGATACATGAGTAACTTCCTAACTAGTCTACCACCTTCCATACTTGGCCAAATCCAATCAAATCTCAGATACTCTGTACATTGAAGCAAAATCAGCCTTTGGAAACAATAATCTTATCAATAAATACTCAGAGCTTCAAAACAATTTGATTGTCCCCAATATGCTTAAAATAAAACATACATAGGCTGCCCTCCATAAATTGGCTCCTCTTTCCTGTCATCATTTCCCTTACTTTTCTTCATGAAACTGGTGTCCTTTAAGTTTTCCATTGTGTTTCCCTTACTTCAACTTAACACACTTTCCTTCTTATGAAAGATTTTCCATACAACGCTTTGCTTGACCACCTCTGATTCTTCCTTTTGATATGTATTTATTTTACTATGCTTCTACCCCAGAACATCATCAAATCTGGCCTACTTACTGCAGGAACTTTCTTTAAAAATTTAAATTACATAGAAGCAGAACCTCAATACATTGATTACACAACAGAAGTAGTCTTTCTAAAACACATGAAAGCTATCACTGTCCTACTGTAAGCACTTATTATTGATGTTGATAAATTCTTAATTTTTCCATTTGGTTTATACTATCTTGTAAAATCTCCTTTCTGTTAAAACCTTCAGTACCATGATGATCTAGTCTCATGTCCAGAGTATATGTGAAATACAGCCACACCACTGATTTATTTTCCAAGTAATTATCAACCAGACCAAAAACATTATAAACACATGGAATATTTAGCAAAATAAATAAAAATAATACAGAAGATATGAATGATGTGTGTAAAATACCTGCATGCACAACCTAGAGAATACAGTTTCTTGTCAAGCACACATGAAGATTAAACCTGATTTCATCAAGTATTAAGTTATTAGACAAGACTCAATAAATCAGAATCTCCTTCTACTCTCTGATAACCCCCAAATACTCACAATCTTAAACATTTAGAAGAAAGTTAAAAATAACTTTTATGTGACTGATGATTCAAGTAAGATACAAATTTGGAGACTTCAAAAAATTGAAAAAGCAATGAAAAGAAATTAAAGTATATGATGAGGAGAAAACGATTCTCCTTATCAAAGGTAATTTACAACTTCATGCGCAATGACTTCCGGAGAAAAGAAAAATGTTTCCCAACTATTCTATTTTCTTTATTTTTTCTTTATTTAATCCCCCCCCCACACACACACACACTTATTCTCCTTAGTGTGGGTTAAAACTCAAGCTCCACCACACCTAGTTTTGTAGCATTTAGCAAGTTCATTTTTAATTTTTAATTCACAATCACTAATATAAAGTGTAGCTTATGAGAAATGCTACACTTTAATCATTTTACTATTAACTAAGTTTCAGAATTTGAGCTTCACCAGCTTTTCCATTAACGTCTTCCCAGGGATCCTACTTTTCACTTGGCTGCCAGGTCTCCTCTTCCTACTCTAACCTGTGAAGTTCTTCAGTCTTTCCTTGTCTTCTATCAACTTGACTCCTTTAAACAATACTGGTCAGTTAACTTGTAAAGTGTCTTTCAATTTGGGCCTGTCTCATATCTTCTCAGGATTAGACTGAGGGTGTGCATTACTGTCAAGGATATCGCAGACGTGATCCATTCTCAGTGCAGCACATCAGGGAACAGTGATGTCAGTATGTCTAATGACTGATGTTAACTTTGGTCACTTGGTTAAGAAGGTGTTTCTGCCAGTTTTCTCCATTGTTAAGTAAATATTATTTCTTTACAATTAATATATATGTTGAGAGACATTAAGATTAAGCAAATATTCTGTCTCATTTCAAAAACCTGCCCATTAATTTCAGCATCAATCAGTGGTCTTGCTTGCAATAATTAATACTGTGGTATTTTAATGGCAATTTTCTATTTTCTTCATTATTTCCACATTTATTATTTGGAATTCTTCTACAAGAAAAAGCTATCCCTTCCTCCCATTTATTCATTTATTTTATTATATACTTATATCAGTTAAGAGTCAGGACATTTATTTTGTTCTTTGTGTTGTGATCCAATAATACAGTTACCTATTTATTCTGCACATTCTTACAGGTTTAATCACTGGGTGATCTTTTAGGAGGCTCTGGTGCCTTTTCAACATGCCTCCGTCATTCCTGAGGACTTCCTTATTCCTGCCACCACAAAATGTTTATACTTCATTTTGTATCTTCCATGACCAAGCTCTGAGATCAATAATGTCTCCAAGCAACTCCTTGTTTCTTTTACTGGAGAAAGTTCCATATTTTTGAAGTGTGAATTTTTGGACAGTGAGTATGTTCAAAAATTTTCATAAAAGTAGTAACTATTGCTTCATAATAAGCAAATATGTGAAAAAGCCAAAAAGGAAGGTAACTATATGCACTAGAAATAAGAAATCTAATTATGTCTTTGATACAAAAAAGTAAATAACAGTATGTTATTTTCTGTTAATATGTTAATTGATCTTTGTTTTAGAAACAAAACATCTGTATCTTTAAAAGGAATTTAGAGTGCTATGATTTACAATAATAGTATTTAAAACTTTTCAGCATAAGGGAAAATCTTGTACTGTAATAGAATAAAAGTATTTCTTATACTTTTAGGAACACTAGGATAATAGAACTGATTACAAATCTGTCTTATACATCAGCTGCGCATTTTTTTTTAATTGTTGTCACTCAAAATGGCCTAGAATCCCACTTCACTGTCATGAATCAAAACCCTAATGCCCAGACACTGGTCACTAATACA